GAAGATATAGGAAGATGGAAAGATCTCCCATGCTCATGGCTTGGCAGGATTAACATAGTAAAAATTGCCATTTTAAAAAAGCAATCTACAGATTCAATGCAATTTCCATCAAATTACCAACACAATTCTTTACAGACCTGGAAAGAAAAATTCTCACCTTCATATGGAATAACAAGACACCCAGAATTACTAAAACAATCATCTAAAATAAAAGATCTTCTGGAGGTATATCCATCCATGATCTTAAGTTGTACTATAGAGCAACAGTAATAAAAACTGCATGGTACTGGCATAGAAACAGAATGGTGGATCAGTGGAACCTAACAGAGGACCCAGAAATAAACCCACACACTTATGGACACCTGATCTTTGACAAAGATACGAAAACCATACAATGGAAAAAAGATAGCATCTTCAACAAATGGTGCTGGTCCAACTGGATGTCTACATGTAGAAAAATGCAAATAGATCCATACTTATCACCCTGCACAAAACTGAAGTCCAGTGGATCAAAGACCTCAACATAAAACCAGACACATTAAATAGGCTAGAAAAAAAGGGGGGAATACCCTATAACTCATTGGTACAGGAGAAAACTTCCTGAACAGAACACCAACAGCACAGGCTCTAAGAGCAACAATCAATAAATGGGACCTCATGAAATTGAAAAGCTTCTGTAAAGCAAAGGACACCGTCCTCAAAACAAAGCGACTGCCTACAGATTGGGAAAAAATCTTCACCAACCCTTTTTCTGACAGAAGACTCATATCCAGTATATATAAAGAACTAAAGAAGCTGAAAAGCAACAAACCAAGTAATCCAATTAAAAAATGGGGAACAGAGCTAAACAGAGAATTCTCAATAGAGGAATATCGAATGGCAGAGATGCACTTAAAGAAATGTTCAACCTCATTAGCCATTAGGGAAATGCAAATAAAAACAACCCTGAGATTTCACCTTACACCCATCAGAATGGCCAAGATCAAAACCTCAAGTGACAACACATGCTGGAGAGGTTGTGGAGAAAGGGGAACCCTTCTCCACTGCTGGTGGGAATGTAAACTTGTACAGCCCCTCTGAAAATCAATTTGGTGCTTTCTCAGACAACTAGGAATAGTGTTTCCTCAAGATCCAGCCATACCACTCCTAGGCATATATCCAAAAGAGGCTCAAGTACACAATGAGGACATTTGCTCAACCATGTTTGTAGCAGCTTTATTTGTAATAGACAGAAGCTGGAAACAACCCAGATGCCCCTCAACTGAAGAATGGATGCAGAAATTGTGGTGCATGTATACAATGGAGTATTACTCAGCAATGAAAAATAAGGAAATCATGAAATTTGCAGGTAAATGGTGGGACCTGGAAAGGATCATTCTGAGTGAGTTGTCCCAGAAGCACAAAGACACACACAGTATATACTCACTCATATAGATAGGCAACTTAGGATAAACCCACTAAAATCTGTATATCTAAAGAAACTAAGCAAGAGAGAGGACCCTAACTAAAACGCTCAATCCCCATCCTGAAAGGCAAAGAGGATGGGCATCAGAAGAAAAAGAAAAAAGAAAACAACCTAGAAACCTGCTACAGAGGGCCTCTGAAAGCCAGAAAAAGAAAACAAGAAACAAACTAGGAACCTGCCACAGAGGGCCTCTGAAAGCCTCTGCCCTTCAGACCATCAAAGCAAATGCTGAGCCTGATGGCCAACTGTCGGGCAGAGTGAATGGAATTTTATGTAAGAAGTGGGAAATAGTAAGAGCTGGAGAGGACAGGAACTCCACAAGGAGAGCAACAGAACAAGAAAATTTGAACACAGGGAACTTCCCAGAGACTCATACTCCAACCAAGGACTATTCATGGAGATAATCTAGAACCCCTGCACAGATGTAGCCCATGGCAGTTCAGTGTCCAAGTGGGTTACATAGTAATGGGAAGAGGAACTGCCTCTGACATAATCTGATTGGCCTGCCCTTTGATCACCTCCCCCTGAGGGGGGAGCAGCCTTACCAGCCCACAGAAAAGGACAATGCAGCCACTTTTGATGAGAACTGAAAGACTAAGATCAGAAAGAAGGAGAGGATGACCTCCCCTATCAGTGGACTTGGGGAGGGGTATGCATGCAGAAAGGGGAGGGAGGGTGGGATCGGGAGGGCAGGAAGGAGGGGCTTATGGGGGGATACATAATGAATAAAGTGTAATTAATAAAAGTTAAATAAAAAATAAAAAAATAACCATAAAAATAAATAAATAAATTTTAAAAAAAGAAAACAAAATTCTAAGTTTCCCAAACTACTAGAAACATAATCTATTCTACTATCTTGAAAAGGTCATTTGTCCAAAATTTGTAGGCACATCAATGTTAACATATGACAGAATTGCTGACAGCTGAACTGATGTATGACTTGCAACTCTCAACAGCTTATTCACATTATAACATGAATAATACACTCCATCTCATGAGTACTTATACGACATGCATGTTTTATTTAAATATCGGTCTCAATTTAGATTGCAGAAGAATGTACAAATAAATGGTCTGTTAAATAAAATGATTAAATGGCAATTGTTGTAAAGCTTGGCCAGCTTAAATATTACAGAATTGTATAAAATAAATTCCAGATATTCTCATAGGAAAAGTCATATAGAAGACTGGCAAATGTAGTGATGCCTTAGATGATAAGGCATCTTTGATGGTAGCTGAAGAGCCTGAACATAACAGACTCCATTTTGTCACTGGCCCCCATCTTATACATCACCTAAAACTTGCCCCAGCTTCAGAAAAAACATGTTTATACTTGCAGAAAACTACAGCATACCTGAGAATGACCACACAATGTGCCAAGCCTGAAACCAGCCAATTAGAAAACAGGTCAAAATATCCATTATCATTGTGGTTACTAAAACAGTTACCTGTTGTCCTTTGCTTTTGCATATGACTTCTGACTCCTGGTATGGCTAATGGTCTTTTGGAGTCTCCCAAACCGGGCACAACATAGCCTAATTGTCTCTTTCCAAAAGGAGACTCACTAAAGTGTAGAAGTTCTGGAATTCAGTTTTTATTTGTTCGTGTAGACTGCTTCTAATTGATTTCATTGTTGAATTTTACTACTTTGTGACTTCTATGACTTTATGAATCTGTTCTTTTAAATAGCATTCTTTGTTTTATGTTGTCACTGATGTCTGTTTCATTACATCACACTATCAAAAGTTTTAGCACACATTTGAAGATTGTCATTAAGTGTACTTCCTCCCCTCCCATTTTTGAATATTGACATTTTCTGTGGCAAAGAAGAAAGTAATATTGTTCCATAACAGTGTTGTGTTACCCTACTCTTGAAAGATGTTAACAAATGTCTACTTGTCTCAGCTAGGGTACTGAAAGAGACCAAAGTACAAATACCACAAAAGTCCAACTTGGTGAAAGAATGAGTTTTATGGGATTAATGTTAGGGATATGGGTGAAGAGGTCCTTAAAGAAGTGACTCAAACACAGCTGCATCACCCCAACACATCAAACATGGGTGATAGGTCATGAAACCCAGAAACATGAAGTGCCCTGCATAGCTGTCAGGTAGCTCAACAGGTTGGCAGCTGTCCTTTGCTGGTAACTGTTGATCTGAGCCTTTTCCTAGTAACTGTTTCTTCCAGGAAGTTCAGCTGATCTGAGCTTTTCTTCTGAGCAGAACAGTTTGTCAGAGAGTGTCTCTAAGAAGTGGTTACCACTTATATATGCACAGGAAAGGAGGAGCCTACTGAATCGAGCCAATTTCAGGAATTTCTTAAAGATATTGGTTTATTTATCTTCTGAGCTTCCTTGCAGGATGGAATGTTTTGCCTCCCCTAGAATATCCCATTGCTTCAGTTCCCTATAAATAGCCTGTCTTAAAATATGTGATTGGTTCATCGCTGCTTCAACCTCCTATGTTTTTTAAAAAAAGTGTCCCTATAAGAGGGATGAAAAATGTAGCAAGTTCATCTACAGAAATTGTCCTCTATTTAAAGAAAAATATTTTCAGGTACAAGATGCAAATTCTTTTTTAATTTTTTATTAATTATTTATTGCAATTTATTCACCTAGTACAGTGGCTGTGATCTCCTCTCTTATCTCCTCCTAATCCCTCCTTCCCTCTTCTTCTCCTATGCCCCTCCCTTAGTCCACCGATAGGGGAGGTCCTCCTCCCTCTCTCTGACCCTAGCTTGTCAGCTACCACCAGGACTGGCTGCATTGTCTTCCTCTGTGGCCTAGCAAGGCTCCCCCCCCCCCAGGGGAGGTGATCACAGAGCAGGCCACTGAATGCATGCCAGAGACAGCCCCTGCTATGCTTACTAGAAAACCTACTTGGAGACTGAGTCTATGGGCTACATCTGGGCAGTGGTTTCACACCCTTTCCATGCATGGTTCTTGCTTGGGGTATCAGTCTCTGCAGGGTCCCCAGGGCCCACAGGGTGCAAATTCTTATCCCACAAATTATGGCTCCATTTATTATTGGCTACTTATATAATGTAGAATATGTAACTACCAGAAAGATTCTGCATTAGCAGAATCAAGCATAGAAGTGACAGTTATAACTCTGTAATACATCCCCAATGACACATTGTTGTGTGTTTCACAGGCATCCAAAGGCATTTTCCTCATCATGATTAAGCCACAAAAAATATAACTTTTTACTTGGCAACACATCTACTCAGTTCAATGTCTATGAAAAAGGGAGCAAAGTGTTATTGACCAAGGACAAAACTGTTTGTTAAAGAATATATAAATATGGTGAAATTAATGGTGTGAAATCTTTTGGCCTTGATCCCAAGTTAACTCTTAATCTATATAGAAACTGTCTTGTGGACCCTCCTGACTCCCTCTTGAGTATCTGTTCATAGATCATTTGGTTTGAGTGCATTACTAGAACACTATAATCTGCAATCAATATTTTATTTCAAAACACTCACAGATGATGAAAGTACATGTAAAGAGGATGAAAGTGCTTTAAAAACAGACACTCACCTGTCTGTCGGACTGCCACTTATTAAACTTCCTATAAATTAGCCAAACATGAATAAAACTCTGATGACAGAAATCAGTGCCTGAGATCCGCACACTAGGCCCCACTAGAAAAGAAGAAAGGCAACAAAGCAGAGATTATAGCTACTCCATGCTGTTAGCTCAAATAATTCAGCAAAACCTTCACCCTATATCTCGATGTCCTTCTTCAGCATTCCCTTTCAATATAATATGATTTGTGCTATCAGGTAAACATATGTCTCTCCAAGAATCTTTATCTAACTCTATAGCTTATGTCAATGACTTGTAAAACAAGCTAGAAGTTCTCAAATTTGGTCATAAAATGTAATCATTAAAGATTTTTAAAGAATGTTTTAAACATACACATCAATGTCTAAACACTCATATTATTCCACTAGGTATAGAGCCTAGGAATGATATCTCTCTCTCTCTCTCTCTCTCTCTCTCTCTCTCTCTCTTTCTCTCCATCCCTCCCTTCTTCCTTTCTTTGTTTCCTTCCTTTCTTCTTTCCTTCCTTCCTTTCCTACTTTTGCTAAAAGTGCGTATTTAATCAAGTGAGACCAGTGTTCCAACAATTGGCAATACTATAGCCTATAATATAGGTAAACCATGATGACCTTTTTTAGCAATGCTGAGACTGAATCCTGAGTCACACCCAAAATAGATAAGCACTCTACCACTGAGCAGTAGCCTTAGATGGAATTGTGGTTTTGTACAATTACCAAGTTATTTCACATTTTAAATCAAGGATGAATAATGCTTCCTTGTCATAATACTTCTAAGAAGGCACATAAGTATTTGCTTAAAATCAATTAGTAATGGGGTTGGAGAGATAGCTCAGCATGAGAGCACTTACTGCTGCTGGGAAGAACCCGAGTTCAGTTCTCAGCATATACCCAGTGGCACACAACATCTGTAATTCCAGTTCCATGGGATCCAACAACCTCTTTTTACTTCTTTGTGCACCAAGCACACATGTGATACACATACGTCTATTCTAGAAGACACTCATAAATAATTTAATTCATAAGCTAGGTCATTCTTAGTATAAAATACTGAACAATGAAAAATATGTTTCACGCTTAATATAAATGTAATCCATGTTGGCTAAAAGGTAAAGGCTGATAAATAAATTAATAACTATTATTTGTGCTATTAGTAAAATTCCATCATGAATTCATGTTGGGGAATGACTTACCTCAGTCACAGTGGTTGAGAGGAAGGTGCTTCTGTTATGCACCCAGCCATCCACACAGGGCTCTGTATCTGGCTCTGTTACACCAGAGAAGGTACCGTTCAGATGAAGGAGATGCCACTGCAGTTGGACAAAAAGACGACACTTATCCACTTTCAGGTTGGAGTCCAAGGGGATGGAGATCCTTAAGAGGTCATCTTGACTCAGGAATTCAGTGTCATTGTCTAGAACAGTATCATTGTCAAGAATGGAGACCCAGCAGTGATGACTAGGAATACCAGCAGTAAAATTCTCCAAATAAGTATGAGGGAGCACAATGCAATTGAAGATTGACAAAAAAAAAAAAATCATCTGAATGATCTGGAATTTTCCCAGGCTGCCAACTTGATTCAGGAGGTCTTGAAAGGCCATCGAGGCTGAATGACTACCTCCAATGGAATGTAAAAAATACTATTAGTACAAAGGATTTAAAAAGTAATATTTCACAAAGACAACCCTAAATAGTGTTGACCCTGAGCTGTTCTTAATGTGTCCCTCTCCACTTCTGCATTGTGGACATAGAACTATTATCCTTTAGCTATTTAATGGTAAGCTTCTACTTTTAAAGTCACAAAGGATTCTACTAGTTTTCTTTCTGCATTTACAATGGTTAAACATTTATTTTTTAAAGGAATTTTGCTTACACAATGGTCAAATATGGACACTGATCTCAGCAAGTCTCAGAAAATAAGAAGAGTAAACCTATTACATTTTATGCACTGCAGAATATGCAGCTTACAGGACTCCAAAGTGAACCATTTTAATTTTTATCCTATGTGTTGTGTTTAATATTAAATTTGCTTAAAAGAGTTAGAAAAATAATTAAAAATAAATTAGTTAGAATGGCACATAGTCCACATGCTGCTTCAAATAAGAATGCTCTCCATAGGCTCATATGTTTAAGTGCTTGGTTCTCAGTAGATGGAACTGCTTGAGTGACTAAGAGGTTACAGAACAGAACAATATTAGCAACTTTGAAAAGTGATCATTCTTGTGATATTTTGCAAAGAATGTGCTTACCTTCTACCCTTAACCTAGGAGTATTCCAGAGGCTAAATTCAAATGTTTTGGACTCCAGTACCCTCCAGGTCTTTCTATCTCCCCCTTCTTTCATAAAATACCCTGCACTCTGTCCAAAGTTGGGCTATAAGTCTCAAGCAACAGAACCAAGCAGAACCAAGGACCATTCATGGAGATAACCTAGAACCCCTGCATACATGAAGTTCATGGCAGCTCAGGTTTCCAAGTGTGTTCCCTAGTAAGGGGAACAAGGGCTGTCTCTGACATGAACTCAGTGGCTGGCTCTTTGATCATCTCACCCTGAGTGGGGGAAGCCTTGCCAGGCCACAAAGGAAGACAATGCAGACAATCCTGGTGAGACCTGATAGGCTAGAGTCAGATGGAAGGAGAGGGTGGCAACCCCTATCAGGGGACTGGGAAAGGAACATGGGAAGAGAAGAGGGAAGGTGGGCAGGATTGAGAGAGGATGAGGCAGGGGGATACAGCTGGGATACAAAGTGAATAAATTGTAATAAATAAAAAAAAATTTTTAAAGGTCATGTCACAGGATATATTGCAAGACCTCTTCTGCTGTTTATGTAGCTCTCCAGTCTTTTAACTCTTTTTTACGTTTATTTTTTAATTATTTTCTTTTGTTATTAATTTATTGTATATTAATTACAATTTATTCATTTTGTATCCCAGCAGTAGCACTCTTCTTCATCCCCTCCCAATCCCATTCTCCCTTTTACCCTCCTTTATCTCTCTCCAAGTCCAATGTTAGGGGAGGACCTCCTCCCCTTCCATCCGATCCTAGCCTATCAGGTCTCATCAGGACTGCCTGCATTGTCTTCCTCTGTGTCCTGGTAAGGCTGCACTCTGCCCAAAGTTTGGCTATGCTCTTAAACTATTTTCTTTGTGATTGAAACTTCGCTTTTTTTCTGATTTTTACTAATATAAACAGTATTTTAGTATAAAAAGAAGTTTTGGACTACTTTCTTTGGCAGAGGAAATTTAAGATAGCATAACATTGATTCTGTTGCATGGTAATTAGTGATCACTCCTACAAAGTTCTTAAAAAGCAAGCAGAATAGAATGGCAGAGAAACAAAGAAATACTCAACTTCATTAGTTATCATGGAAATGCCAATCAAAATAATCATGAAAATTCACCTTACACCCATCAGAATGGCTAACATCAAAAACTCAAGTGACGATGTATGCTGGACAGGATGTGGATAAAGTGGAACCCCCTCCATTGCTGGTCTGAATGTAAACTTGCAAACCACTTTGGAAATCAGTCTGGCTCTTTCTCAGACAATAAGGAATAACACTTCCTCAAGATCCAGTTATACCACCCTAAGCATATATCCAAAATATGCTCAAGTACACAACAAGGGCATTTGTTCAAGCATGTTTATTGCAGCTTTATTCATAATAGCTAGAACCTGGAAACAACACAGATGTCCCTCAAAGGAGAAATGGAAACAGAAATTGTGGTACATTTACACATGGATTACTACTCAGCAATCAAAAACAAGGAAATCATGAAATTTGCAGGCAAATGATGGGATCTAGAAAAGATCATCCTGAGTGAGGTCTTCCAGAAGCAGAAAGATGCACATGGCATATACTCACTTGTAAGTGGATATTAGACATATAATATAGGATAAACATAATAAAATATATACACCTAAAGAAGCTAAGTAAGAAGACGACCCTGGGTAAGAGGATCAATCCTCACTCAGAAAGACAAACGGGGTGGACATTGGAAGAAGGAGAAAACAGGAAATATGATAGGAGCCTAACACAGAGGGACACTGAAAGACTCCACCCAGCAGTGTATCAAAGCAGATGCTGAGACTCATAACCAAACTTTGGACAGAGTGCAAGGAATCTTATGAAAAAAGGGAGAGATAGTAAGACCTGGAGAGGAAAGGAGCTCCACAAGGAGAGCAACAGAACCAAAAAATCTGGGCACAGGGGTCTTTTCTGAGACTGATAATCCAACCAAGGACCATTTCATGGATGTAACCTAGATAACCTAGGACCCCTGCTCAGATGTAGCCCATGGCAGCTCAGTATCCAAGTGGGTACCCTAGTAAGGGGAACAGGGGCTGTCTCTAACATGAACTCATGGGCTGGCTCTTTGATCACCTCCCCCTGAGGGGGGAACAGCCTTGCCAGACCACACAGGAGGAGAAATCAGCCAGTCCTGATGAGACTTGATAAGCTAGGTTCAGAAGGAAGGGGAGGAGGACCTCCCCTATCAGTGGACTTGGAGCGTGTCATGGGAGGAGATGAGTGAGGGAGGGTGGGATTGGGAAGGAATGAGGAAGAGGCTACAGATGGGATACAAAAAGAATAAACTGTAATTAATATAAAAATAAAATTTTAATTTCAAAAAAAGCAAGCAGAGCAAAATGAGACCCAGAAGGTGTAACTCAAGTAGAAAAAGAACACCAGGAAATCTAATATTGGAGCTAAGTGTTGTTCTCAAAGATACAAAAAGATGGAAGGAACTACTGCAAAATGGAAGGAACCATTAACTGCAGTTTATAATGCCCATAATCTCTTGGATATATGGCCTTTCTTGGAGCATAGTCAATCAGCTAGGGACCCCATCCTTAGAGAAAGTTGACTTTTCCTATTTATAGCTAGCAGTTGCTAATATCTCTACAGCTGGGGAGTGGCTGGGTTTATATTTATCTCCATTCGTCATGCTGAAATTATATCTGTTTGCACATGTCTTATATATGGTGTCACAACTCCCGTGAGTTCATATATGCAAGGGCCCCATTATGTCAAGAGACACTGTTCCTTACAGTCATTCACTGTTTCTGGTTCCTACAATCTTTCTAGTTCTCCTTCTGCAAAGATTGCTAAACCTTTGGTTGAGGAAGAAGTATGAGATAGACCCACTGAAGGCTTAGCATTCTGTACTTTCTTGTTCTCTGTACCAGTTACGGATCACTGTGTTAGGCATTATCAATTGCAAAAAGAAGCTTCTTTGGTGAGGACTGAAAGGATGCACTAATCTATGGATATAACAATAAGTCATTAAGAGTTAATTTAATGATGTGTCCATTTAGCAGAATAATTGTAGTAGGTTTTTTCCTTGGGCAAATCACCTGTCTGGTCAAAGTTATAAGGCCCAATAACAGTGTCAGTTTGGCTTTCAACTTTTACATCATGATTTAAGCTCAAAGAAGAAAATGGTTGGTTGCTTTCATGGTGTTGCTAACACTATTGTACCAATGAGAAGGACCTGTATATTTTGGCAGCACAATCATTAATGTAAATCTCAGGGTAAACAGCTTGGTCAGATTAATGAATACTTTTCTCCTCTGGAAGTGTGAATACCACCTTCTAGCACTGTGAAAGATAACCAGCTGTATTCCTGGAGTTTACTTTTACTTCATGTTCTGCGAACTAATTCTTTTCAGATTAACCAACTAAGTGAAGACTGTGAAATGAAAAGCAAACCAATCAGGATTAGACACAGTTACCTCTGAGTTAGAATAAAACAACAACAGAAAACACATTTTTGTCTGTGTGTATTCATGCTCTGAGCATAGAATCTTATAGAATATCTTGATTTAAAATAAAGTTTATTTTTCCAGACACAAAAGAAAGAAAAAAAAAGAAAGGAAGGAAAAGAACAAAAAGGAAAGAAGACTGAGCAAATTACAAGGAGCAAACCTATAAGCAGCACTTCTCCATGAACACTGCATCAGCTCCTGCCTCCAAATTTCTACACAGATTGAGATCCTGCCTTAGTATATTTCAATGCTGAACTGTGATATGAAAGTATAACCAAAATAAACACTTTCCTTTCCTGGCCATGGTGTTTCATCACAGCAATAGAAACCCAAACTAAGACAACATAAAAGCCTGTGTGGTGCTGCGAAGATGGCTCAGCAGGTATAGGTACTTGCTATGAAGCCACTGGACCCACTTTCAATCCCAAGGCCAAAAGTATTGGCAAGAGAGAACTGACCTTGGAAATTTGTCCTCTGACATTCATATGTGAATAACCACATGTGCATATGCATATTCAGGTACACATGAGTATGCATATGAAGTACATACATACACACACACACACACACACACACACACAAATAAATGAATTTTAAAAATATAAGCTATAGGCCAGCCTGGTCTACAAAGCAATCCAGGGCAGCCAAGGCTACACAGAGAAAACTTGTCTCAAAAATAAATAAATAAATAAATAAATAGCCATTAAATATAGTATATCTATCCAAATTTGTCTATAAACCCATTTCCATATCAATCATAGTTCTTTGGACAAAAGTATTGTATAATTATGTCTTATTTACTGAATAAATGACCAAAGCTTTTCTGAGAAAG